TAGCGGAGAAACATTGCGAATACAATAAAGATCTACACCTAGTGTTCATAGATTTTAAGTAAGCCTACGATTCTACTAATAGAAAGGAATTATGGAAGGTCCTGAGATGTCTAGATATTCCTCAGAAATATATAGATTTAATCAAGATGTGTAATAGTAAGACTAATTTGAAGGTAAAATTCCAACAGGAAATGTCAGAAAAGTTCGAAGTAAAATCTGGCCTTCGTCAAGGAGATGCATTGTCACCGATGTTATTCAACATTGCTTTGGAATGGGTAGTGAGAACAGCAAATGAAATTCGAAAAATGGAAGTAGGTGAAATTGAAACCATCCTTGCAGACGATGTGGTAATTCTGGGCAATTCTAGAAACGAAGTGAAGCAAACCACAATAAAATTCTTAGAAGCAGGCAAGATTATGGGTCTAGAAGTCAATCAAGAGAAAACAAAATATATGTGTWTTTCACGGAATGACAGAAATGATTTAAATCTAAAAGTAGATCCTTATATCTTCGAAAAAGTAGAGGCATTTAAATATTCAGGTATAAACAGCAAAAACAACGTACATGAAGAAATAAAAGAACGGGTAGCTAGCGCGAACCGATGTTATTATAGCCTACTTAAACTATTCAGCTCGAAGCTATTATCGAGGGAATCGAAGGCAACTCTATACATAAGTTACTTGAGACCTGTGTTGACATATGKATGTGAGACATGGGCTACTACGAAAGGTGATTACGCTAAGTTATGTACAACAGAAAGAAAAGTGCTCAGAAAAATATTTGGCCCAGTTTACAATATAGAAACGAGAACATACGAAAGAAGACATAACAATGACCTACAGAATTTATATGGAAGACTAAATATATTATCGTATAGCAGAAGCAAGAGGATAGAATGGGCTGGACATGTTTGGAGGGCAGAGGGGAAAATTATAAAACGAGTTACAGAAGGAAGAATTGTGGGGAAAAGACCTGTAGGATAACCCCGAACAAGRTGTAAGGATGTAATAGTAAAAGATCTAAAAATGATCAATGATAACGTAAAAATGGAAGATGCGAATGATAAGGCCCGATGGAGTGAAATAATGGTGGCAGCGATGGACCTACATGGTCCACTAAGCTGTTAAGAAGAAGAAGAAGAAGAATATAAATTAATATTAATATTTCTATTTGTTTTGTTATTTGTAAAATTTTAATTAACAAATCTCTGATTACTTTATATATATATTAGATATTGTTACAAACATCAACATGACTACATCATACTATATTTTTATGTATTTTTGTTATTAAAATAAATAAGGACAATAAGGTAATATTAAAGCAATATTATCAATAAAATAAAATATATTTTAAAGCACATAGATACAATTTTTGATCATACAAAATATGTTATTTAATTTTAACAGCATTAAAGCCCCAAATATGAAATCATATTGCAATGTATGGTTCGACGTTGCGACCGGTAGAGAAGGCATTGGCAGATGCCAAGTTGGACAAAGGAGACATACAGGACGTAGTACTCGTGGGTGGTTCTACAAGGATCCCGAACATCCAGAGCCTACTGCAAAACTTCTTTTCAGTCAATCTGAACATCAATCCCGATGAAGCGGTAGCGTACGGCGCAGCGGTGCAGGCAGCCATCCTCAGCGGTGATACGAGCTCTGCAATTCAAGATGTGTTGCTCGTGGACGTTACC